CCCTTTTTTTTTTTTTTTTTTTTGTTTCGATCGGGGACCCTTTTATGTTGTTACTCTTTCATTTTTTTTTGTTCTTTTTTCTTTCTTTTCCGATATTTTTGTGGCCCCCACCCCCCGCCCTCCCCCTTCCCCTTTAAATCTTACACCGGAGGACCAATTTTGAAAACAATTAAACGAGATTAAGAAAAAGAAGAAAAAAAAAATCAAAGAAGATGAGTCTCCTGTCTTCCAGCATCGGCAGCATTCGCTGCTTAGCGGATGAGGAAGCTGATAACAACATGCTTCAGGGTAATTCTTTTATTTATTTAATATATCATTTTATCACACTTGTTTATATATTTCTTGTCATCTTGCGTATTTTTGTTTGATGCTACTTTGAGAACAACTTCTTCGCGATCTTCTTCGAAATAGACAAATCCTATTGCTTAACGCAAAACGATATTTACGATTAATAATTTCTAAGAACATTAAATGACTTATTATTATTATTATTATTATTATTATATAATCATCGAGGATAAAAATAATATTTTAGAAAAACAAATATACAAGAAAAGAGGTTCCTTTTTAGTGAGAGGTGGAGCTGAATTCTCGCTGACAAGAGAAGAGAACTCGATCGATGATGCTTCCTTTGCAAAAGGGGGGAGACTTTCTCCCTTCTCTCTTTCTCACCCTCTCCCTCTCTCCCTCTCTCTCTCTCTCTCTCTCTTTATCCCTTCCTCACCTTTTTCAATCTTTTGGAAAACATAACAAACCACGACTTGTATATCTGATTCTCGTTATATGAAAATTGAGGGGGTAGGGTAACGTGAGTTTGATCGTTCGATATTTTATTTTGTTATCATTCGTTATTATCACGTCAAGGTAAACACACGTATATAGGTATATACAATTTAAGCCATTGGGTATAATCAAAAATTCAATTGAATTATTTTAATAGAATTATTTTTCCTCTCAATGAAATATTAATTAATATTATTGGATGATGAATAATCTCATTCGTGTACTGTGTTTACATTTATATTATTTTTTTTAATTATTATTTATTTATATTAATTATTAAGATATGACACGAACTTCTCTAGATTATTTTTTATATTATTTAATTTTTATTATCTTAATAACAGATAAAAATAAGAGTTCGTGCTGTTTTAATAAATGATTGTCAATGAGATTAAGAAATGGAGGAAACACGCAGCAAGAATTTTTATGATTTTCTAATATGTTTTAATATTTCATATAATTATAAATATATAGAATTGTATTAATATATTTTATTTAGAATATTATATTTATTATATGATAATATGTTAGCTAAACATTTTACAAAGGCTAAAGAAGATATGTTTTTTACGTAATTAAATATCACCGATCAAGTTCTGGTAATTTATTTTATATGACGTAATCGTACGAAATTACACACACACACGCATAAATAAATATATTTATACTTTGTAACGAAGTAAGAGAGGATTCAAAGAATTATTGGATTTTTCCACGAGAACGTTAAAAAAGTAATAAGTCGTTGTCCTTGAAGAATTATTATCAATCAATCGTTGACTCTTGAACTCAGTGATTACAACGAGCAGTCATTAAAACGTTAAGCTGACTGATAAATATAGTATCATCGTTCTTCAAGTTTATACGAATATTAAAACGAACATTTAAACGTTAGAATTGATCTTAGAATTAAAACCAAAATTTTTGTTGTATTTAATTCTTCCAAGATTATTTTAGTTTTATTAAATAATAAAAGAAAAAAAGTGAGAGAGAATGAGATTACGTACTATAATCTGGTAGAAGATTACGTTATAGTTTTATTAGTGACTGCTTAATGATTAGATCTCAAGGTTAGATTCTCTCGATAGAAAGTGGAGATTAAATTGTATGTTAGAACTCATAAATGCGTTTTATGTATACTATTTAATATCTATTTTCTATAACTGATATCGCATAAATGAGTATACTATGAATTATATCTATGAAGTGTATTAGTACGGAAGAAATATTTATTTTATTATAATTAATATCATTAATATGATTATTACCTTTTTTTCTTTTTTTATGTACTACATTGATGTACATTATTAATAATTTATTTCTTTATAATTGATATAAATGATTAGATATTTATTTATTTATTTTTTATATATATATATATTTCATACACTTTATAGATATTTATTTTAAAATTTATATATACTCCTTTAACTTACTATACGTAGAATATTATATCGATTGCTATGTCGAGAGAACAAGTATATAAATAATTCTATTAATACTTATTGAGATTCATTTTATCAGAACGTTATTTCCTTTGTATTCTTCTTTTTCATTTAACTTTCCTTCGGATGTACATATGTGTATATATATATATATTGTTTAAGCTTGTAGATTTTATAGAACAATAGATTTAGTCTGTGTGTGTGTAGGAGGGGAACACTGTTTCAAGACGCAGCATCCGAGACGGATCGATAACTTTGCACTGATGATATTAGCAGAATATTCCTTATAGTTTCTCATTCTCGTTTTCATATAATTTTTTTTAAATAAAATCAGTTCTATGCAAAAAATGATATATGTAAAAATAAAATACTAACACAATTCAATTATAAAATGTTGAAACTAAACAAAAATAATAAAAAAATAGATAATACTTTATTAAATATTTGTGCATATAATATTGCAATATAAATATAAAAATATTAATATAATTTCTCAAACTTTTTTTAAACTAAAAGACACGCTATACACGAAATGTTGCTATACTGGTTTTGAATTAATTTCCTGTCGTTTCGCGTGTAAGAATTTTTGAAGTTCTGCTTAAAATTTCATCGTGACCTATACTTTGAAAAATCCTGATTTGTACTATAAATTTTACACATACATATATATATAAAAATATTATTATCTCGATATAAAAGTAAAAACAATTTATAACAAAACAAAAAAAACGTATTTATAGATCAGACACTTTCACTTAATTCATTTATATTATATCTTTAAATTGTGTTTTTCAATATCATAAATTAAGAAGAATGGTCAAAAAAACTGATAATGCAACTTACATAGTTTGTTTAAAATCATTAATCATTTTGACACCGATATAATTAAATAAGAGAGTAATATTTAATAGAAATAACAGTTGAATTAATTATTATTATGCGTATATAAATCAAATCACTATGATTCGTGTGATCTATTTGTAGTGTTAGAACTGGCCACGTTTAGCAGCTTTTTCCTGTTGAGACAAGCGTACCTAATGCTACGTGACGTTGGAAGGAAGTGGTTGAGCATATTTATGATTCCTTCTCGAAGGCTTAAGGCATACCTTCGGGCTTTACTTGAGATAAAAGTGGAAGTATCTGGGGCACGTATAATAAGCCATGTTATGAACGTTAAGTCTTACACTCTTGTACAATTCATGGGGAACCTTCTCTTTTTTTTTTTTTATGACAATTTTTATTTTTAATAGACTTTCAATAGATAAGGAAAAACAAATAAAACGATGTACATTCTTAATTACAGTTATATAAAATTCATGGGGGCGGGAGGGGGAGGAGAATTCTTTTTATGTATATATATATATATTTTTTTTGAGAATTATTATTCTTTTTTTTCTTTTATTCTGAATACGTCAGAAAAGAGTTTCAAGATAAGGAAAAGGTGATAAAATGTTTGATTTCAATTGCTTCATAATGTTTTAATTACATTTTCATTTTATCGAAGTTTTATTTCTTTATTTTTAGTTCATTGAATTCAACGAACTTGGAGTAGTTTTAGGTTGACTAGTATTATGTTTGATACTAATTGCATGGTCGAAGGTTGTTGGTTGCCATGATACTCCCTTCGTTTTGGGTTTCCTTAGTCTAGGGAGTCCCATAAAAATGTGTACTGACGTGGAATCGATCGATAGTAAATAGTCTCGATGATTCATCTTTTCGTTACACCATTTCATTAAGTTTTCTTTTTAAATCTCTTATTAGAATTGCATTTTTCAATTTAAATTCAAGAAATTTTCATTTAATATTATCTTAAATGAATATTACACGCGATTAGCAATGTTCATTCCATAATTAATTAATTTCTCTTATATATATATATATATATATATATATATATATATAT